TTCTGTTCTGACCAGTTTTATACTATGTTGTTTTGTATGAATTCTCTGTATGCGAAGACATGGACAACTATTTAGAAGAAAGCAAGAGACAATATAATAGACAGTGAAGATCCCGAGTTGTCTAGCTTTGAAATTTATCGCTCTTACATTGCTTTCTTATGTCCTATTTTGTTGTTTGATTTCCCCCCCCCTTTAAAATAAAAATTTAAATAAAAAAAAAAGATTGTGGAAGTAAACAGAGTTACACATTTTTGGAAAGCTCCCAGCCAGGCCGTGTTTCCAGGACCCAAACAGCAGCTCCACCCACCCCATACCTGCTGCTGGATTCTTCTGTCCTGGAACGTGAGCAGCAGTTTGAGTGCATTTGCCCAGGGGAGCCAGTGGGTCCAGGAGGGAATAAGATTCAATTTCTCCGAGTCCAGAAACTGAGAAGATTCTGTCACAAACAGCTGAAGAGGAGTGGGATTGGCAGGGCCTCAGCTGGGCGTGGGGATGCACACCTGCGTGCCCCACTCTGGGAGCCTGAGGCAGAACGATCGCAAGGGTCACTCATGCAGAAGCCCAGGGTAAGGACCTCCAGGCTGAGGGTACTGCTTTCCTCCTGCCCTGTGCACCCACAGTTGCGTCTGCAGGCCATGGATGTCCCTCTTGGGGACAAAACGTGCCTGAAAGGTTGAGGAGTCACTAAGGAAGATGCTGTCACTCTCTTCCAGAGTCCACTCTTCCTTCCTGCTTGGTTTGACTTCTTTTGCTGTGACCTCCTTGGGGCTGAAATTTGAGCACCTGGTTTGTAGGTGGAATCAGGGAAGAGGCCTCTTGCTCAGTGCTCAGAGGCTCCCAGATCTGGGCGAATCTCCGGCGCTGCCACTGGGCCCAGACGCCTGCTGGGGGAGAAGACACAAGGGCCTGGGCCAGGGTGAAGGGGACCTCTGAGGCCAGAACGTGAAGCACCAGAAAGGAGGGAAATAATCAGCGCCCAAATAACTGGGATGAGTAGCTAAAACATGTAGCACCAACTGCCAGACACTGTTCTAGGCACTTACCAAACCAAAATCGTGAGAAACAGGTTAAATGACGGCCCCAGCCCCAGCGAGGTGCTGTAGCTCCAAACCCCACCTGGTGAGCAGCTAGCAGCTCCCCGACCCTCATGACAGCCTTCAGGTCTGCAAAGCGTGTGGCTTAAGTTCCACGCAAGCAAACACAAATCAAATGATTCATCTTATATTCAGCAGAGCTGCAGAAACGCTGAGAGATGGTCCTTTCTCTGGGTTTGAACAGATGAGTCTGGGCCTAAGATCCGTAGTGAGGACAGTTGCACAAAATGGTACTGGGGTCCACGCCAGATGGCACCTGCAAGTGGCTGCTTCTCACCCACTTTGCCTGACGTGCTCCTCTCAGGTGGCTTCTCTACAAGTGGCAGAAGGATGGCCAGCAGGTGCAGGAGCCCTTGGTGTGCTTCCACCTTGGGGCTGTGGGGCAGAGCAGGCCTGGCATGGCTCTGCGGCCCACCCGTCACGTGCCCGCGAAGCACATGAGCAGATGAGCTAGACCTGGCCCACCACGTGCTCATCCCTGGATACTAGGAACATCAGGCGCTGTGAGCAGGCCTGGCAGGAATGGGTCAATAGGTGGAAACCATGAACACTTTTTAAAAAGTCTTTGATAGGGTTTCACTGTGCAGTGCAGGCTGGCCTTGAACTCATTTTGTAGCTTAGTTAACTCACAGTGATCCTCCTTGTTACAGGTTCAAGACCAGCGTGGGCCACAAAGTGACCTCAAGGCCAGCTTGAACTGCATAGCAAGACCCTGTCTCAAAAAGACAAACAAAACAAACACACACACTTACAGTGATCCTCCTGCCTCAACTTCCTGGGTGCTTAGACTATAGGCATGTGCCATCATGCTGGGCATTCAGTGAACTTTTGAAATGAAATGTCTTATCTTCCCAGAAGAATCAAAAACATCGTATCATAGCAATATATGTGCACTCATGTTCATAGCAGCACAATTTGTAACAGCTAGATCTTGGGAACAACCTAAAATGATATAACTTTGCAGTTTTCTTAGTGATGAGGTGAGTTTTCTTCTCTGACTTTCCCCATCCAGTCCGGAACTAGGCAGGCCCAAAGAGCCCTGTTACCGGCTCATGTGCCATCCTCAGCTGGTCCCATGGCTGCACACCCTGCCCTCCCTCAGGATCAAAGGCAGCCAAAATGCCCTGTCTGCACCTGCACTCTGCCTGCCGTGCAGGGCGGCCTGGTCAAGCTGCCAGAGCTGGGGATCTGAAAGCCAGGCCAGTGAGGAGAGTGCCTCTCCTCAGCCTTTGGGAATGTGATCTCCTACTTGGAAATGTCCACTCTAAGCCTTATTTTTTGGCTCCTCCTTTGCATTGGCTCTGAAGTCTAGGGATTGCACCATGATAGAACCCAAGAGGCTCGAGTCCCTGCAGTTCTGAGCTGCAGGAGCACAGGAAGCCTTGCCTCACCCACTGGCTGTCTGGAATCTTGAGATGAGGACCACCTTAGCTTTCTATTTGTTGCTGGAATGAACTACCACAAACTGAGCTGCTTTAAGTCTAACTTCCCATTTCCATAGGTCAGCAGCCGGGGCACAATGTGGCCTGCCAGAGCTTCTGCTCCAAGCCTCAGGGCTGGACAGGGCCCTAGGAATGTTTGGCTTCCAACTCACTGGCCGTGGGCAGAGTGGATCCCTGCCCCCCCTTCAATAAAATCCCTTGCAGAGAGCAACACTGTTTCCGAATCTGCTTTGGATCTCACTTCTGTGCTGCTTTAAACATCTGTGATTACACACAAGCCCACAATAATGTTTCGTGCATTTTCTTGAGACAGGGTCTTGCTGTGTAATTCAGGCTGGCCTTGAACTCACTTGTGTAGCCCAGGCGACCTTCAAGATGTGTTAATTCTCTTCCTCAGCCTCCTGAGGGCAAAGTGGTCCTCTGTACATGCTGCAGGTGCTAAGTACCCTGAGCTTAGTTACAAAGTGAAGCACAGAAGTGCTAGCGCACAGAAACTCCACCAAGAGGCACTGCATGTTCAAAACGGGACAGACTGAACTGTGTGCAACTTGTCATCTCCAAGTGACCAAACGAAACATTCAAGAGCCCCTAACATAAAACCACTTAGAGGTCTGAGAAACCTATCAAGTTTCCCAGGAACACAACATACTGCTTTACAATATCCTGTATCCACCAGCAACACTGACAACTGGGTTTCTCATAGCAAGCTGGCATTACTCAGCGGTGTCACACACAAAGCTGCTGTCTTTAGGCCTCTGGGGTGCTTTCTGAGTTGTGGTTCTGAAAGGGCAACACAACCTCGGTACTGATGCCCAGAGGGCATGAGCACATCCCTAAGTTCCAAGGCACACAGGAGATGCAGCAGAAACAAAACCCCAGCCGATCCCGCCGGTCTTGCTTCCGTCCTTTATCGGTCACCCACCTCTAACCCCTGGCTCTTCTCCCTCAATGAGCACTGCATAGCTGGTTTTTCTTTTGGTACCAGGGATCAAACTCATGACCTCTCACTTGCCAGGCAGGCGTCTATGCTACTGAGCTAAACCCCCGGCTCCCGAGCGCTGCCTGTCTACTGGGCCCACTTCACACAGCTGAGCTGCAGGGAAGGATGGACCCATGTGCCAAGCTGGCCCTGCCTGGCCTCCATGCCTCTCGAGCCTCACTGCTGTGACTGTCACATCATGCCAGAGTTTGTTTTCCCCCGGTTTTCCATCCGATACCATGTGTTCCCCTCCCATCTCCGTGTGCTCCTAGTCTGGCACCATTCCTGAACTGGGATAAACAGCTAAACTCTCCTAACTGCACACATGAAGGAGCGGGAAGAGCCAGGGCGGTCAGCTGAGGCCACAGAGCAGCCGGGACCCAGCCAGGTGCAAACTTCAGATCCGGGCATTGCCAACAAGACGCTTCAGTGGCTTACATGCATGTCTCATTTTTATCTGTCCTCAACTCTGTTAATACTGGAGATTTGGTCTGCTTTTGCCTGACCTCACTGGAAAAAAAAAAAATTCTATCCACATTACACTTCCAAAAGCAAAAATCACACAAATAGGCATAACCAAGTAATAGTTAATGAATTTCACAAGTCAAATTTGTTAGCGGCTGAGGACCTGCTCAAACGGGGCTGCATTTCTCTTTCATTGTGGCAATCTTTTGTTTTTCATTCCTAAGTGTAGTACAAAGAAGAAAACCAAAGTCCAGAACAAGTTCAACAACTGCAAGGACCACTTTTCTTCAGTTGCAAAGACATCTGGAGGGAAAACTGTTGTTGCAAGACCTTGGCAACAGAGCACAAAGCAGAACCCCCACAAGGCTGAGCGCTGGCAACCGAATGGAGATGCCCTGACCACCGAGGCCATGGCAAGGCCACCTGGTGCCCCCAGTTAACCCGGCAGCGATTCCCGAGCCAGCTGGGCTGACTCACCCACCAGCTTTGGTGTGAAGCAAAAACCATGCATACTTTTTTTTTTTTAAAATAGCAACAAAAAGGTTAGAAAGAGAACCCACAGTCATATGGGAAGCGCACTTTCCTCCAGGAGTTATGCCAGAGCCAGACCTGACATCGAAAGAGGAAATATTACATGACACCAAAGAATGTTATGTAAAACTCCAGTATTTGGCTTCAAGCTATAAATAAGTTTCAACTTTTTATATTTCACAATTTAAATCTTTTATTGGAGTCCATAGTCTGCTAAATAAAAGCAGTAACAAGATATTTCACATACTATTATACAGTTTAAGACTCATGAATTTAATTTCATAAAAAATCAGGTGCAGTCATTCTAACCCTAAAAACGCTATTTCATCTATGGTCTGAAATACATTATAAGAGACTCTGTTTCCACATGAAAATAATCCCATCAGCTTTTTAAAAAAACATGTTTTATAACAAAAAGTTTATGCTCTTAATCAAAAAGATCCACACACTAATTTGGCATGTAAAAATAATTGTACAAAAAACCCAAGATAACACTTTCAGATCCACTTTTATTCTTTTTTCTTCTTCACATACAGAGCTTCTCCACACACATTTCTCGCAGCCGTAAGTCCCTTAATGTGGGCCAGGTACCATTTAACCCCTACAACTTTATTGGCATCAAACATGAGTTAACCAGTGTTAAATCCATAAAATATTTACATTGCACAGCACAGTAAGCTTTAGACACTCGGCAATTAAACCACATTATAAAAGAGGACAAGACCCCACCCCACACGCTGGGAACCAGGTGTTCACGGTGCCTATCTGGCGACTGGACACTGGTTCAAGGGCAGCAGAGGCAGCAGGCAGTTATTTCAGAGGACACGGAACACTGTGATCTGGAAGGCACTGCGCCGTTACCGGGCCGGGCAGCCCACTTTCCCTAGGCAGTCTCAGAATTCTAGAACGGCAGGTCCGGCAGACACACACTGAAGACAGACAACACAACATTTATTCTGCGGAGACCTCCTACTCAAGACTACGCGCGTGCTGTGATTTTGAATGCAACTCTTCCCAAAAACTTGTCTCGATCGTCCTCGTTTCTTAGGTTCTTCGATCCCTCAATTTTGCACTCTACCGTTACTTCTTTCTTGGTACTGTTAGATCCAAAGGAGACCTGGACAGCCACCAGTGGCTGTAGATAGCCCACCTGCCAAGCAAATGAAAGCACGTGAGCTCGCATTCTCCAGCGGTTTCTCCTACACTTCACAGCAGGGATTAGTTTACCCTAAAAAATGTTAACTGTTTCTTTCCTGTAAGAATCTTTCTGGTTTAAGCCTTGAGCTCTTACAACTTCTCTGAACATGATGCCTGGTGTAGTAACTGTTAAGGAGTAACCTAGCGCCTCCTCCCCTCACCGAGCCAAGTGTGCAGGCTGGACTCAAAGCTGTGAGCCTTCTAACTGCCTCGGCTTTCTTCTGTACTGGGATTACAAGCTTCAGCCATTTGTCTACTCATCAAAGTCTGTAAGGCTGAATTTTCCTGTAAGCACTGCTTTAAACATATTCCACAAACTTTGATTACTGGTATGAGTTTTCCTTTTTAGTCAGGAACTGATTAATCAAATTTTTATGATTTTAAAAAATGATTCTTTTTATTTTTGGTACCAGGGATCGAACTCATGACCTTGTGCTTGCAAGGCAGATGCTTATATCGCTGAGCTAAATCTCTGGCCATAAATGATTCTTTTAAAAAATTTTTTTGTGCTTTTTTGGGAACCAGCATCTGAACGCAGGACCTTGTCCTCATGAGGCAAGTGCTTATGCCCCTGAATTACATCTCTGGCCCTTGACTCTTTTTTACATGTACGTATTTTAAGAAAGAAATACTGAAGGAATTGATTGTAATATAATACTGCTTTAACTAGGTAATGAGCCTTTTTTAGTATTTTTCTATTTCCTCTATTATTCTGAAAATAGTTACCCTTTCATTTGTCTACTTGGGTTATAGATTATGCATTTGCTTGTTTGTTTGTTTTTTGAGACGGAGTTTCCTTATGTAGTTCAGCCTAGCCTTGAACTGACTATGTAGCGCAAGTTGGTCTTGAACTCAAGAGATGCTCCTGGCTCAGTCTCCTGAGTGTGTCATCAAACTTAAGCCTATGTTTTGAACTTTAAATGTGGTTGTCTATTTTAAAACCCTTTAAAAACCAAATGCACAACCTGTACAGGGATGTGTCTACCTATCACAGATAGGCAGATACTTCAATTTCTCAAAAGAGCAAAATGTAAGAACTTCTAAATACTTACATGCAGTTTCTTTCCATAATATGGAAAATACTTTAAGTCTATAACTCCTTGATTAGGATAAGTTGATACCATCGCTGTGTTTTCATCCTAAAATTGAAAGTAAAAGAAACCTTTTAAGTCACAACAAAGAATTTTAAAAATTGTGTTTACGATTAAAGCAGTGGCAATGACTAAGGGTATGCAGAAACTACAATGCTGCTGCAACTGTGTTAAAACACTTCTGGGCATACACTTACTCATCTTGATTATGTAACACAATCATATAAGCATTAAATAATTACGACTTGACACAAATTACATTTCTCAAGATTTAACACCACACTCAGGAGAGTTTCTGCTCATTTATAGCCAGTTCTACTCATGTAACTGCTCTAGCTACCAAATGTCAGTCTACACCGACAGCAGAATCAGACAGCAGAATCACACCAGCAAGTTTCGTGTTGATATTTTCCTGACATGAATAAAAAATTTGTGTTGGGGGCTGGGGGTTTAGCTCAGCGGCATAAGCGCCTGCCTTGAAAGCAGGCAGCCGTGAGTTCGATCCCCAGTACCAATAAAAAAGAAAAAAAAAAATTTGTGTTTCCAGACTGCAGACTGGAAAGCCAACAACTGCTACAGCTGCCAATCTAGAAGGCAGATTCTCTGGATGGAGAAGGCCCAAAAGTGAATGACCATTAAGCTGTAACCAGAGGTGAGACCATGATGCATCTGAAAGGAGAAGCTGCTGTACATTACTAAGCACCTGAATTTTAGATGTGCATAAACTAATTTCTAAGTGTGTACATGGTGCTGGGGATCGAACCCAGAGCCTCGGTGTCCGCTAAGCACATGTATCTGCAGTCTGCAGTTCCTACTGAAAACACACCTGACACAGCACAGCAGAAGAGCGCAAGCACTAAACAGAAGTCCTACTTTCTGTTCATCTCATTTCACAAAAATGACGCACGAGTGAAGGCCAGGACTAAGCCTCACACAGGCAACAGAGCACAGAACACAAAGCACAGTGATGGCTTCACACTCTGCAGAGGGCAAGTTCTAACATCCCAGAGCCAAACACGTGCAGACAGGAGCAAACAGGACTACAAGAAACTCTACGAGTCATTTTAATCACTATTCCAATGGCAAATGCCTCCTTCCGTCTGTATTCCGATGAAATACGTTCGGTGACCAGAGGCACAGCCTATCGCACAGCATGTGCTTGAGACCCGATTCCACCGCCAGCACCAAAGACAGAGAAAGGGGAGGCTTTTATACTGCAGGAAAAAAAAACCCTCACAGTGATTTTTTTTCTGCATTAACTGCTATTGTTGACCCTTTAACATATGGGCTTTATTCACAGAAACAGATCTTCCCCCAAACAAAACAAAACAATTTTTCTTTTTGAATAATGGTCTGCGCCGAGCACTTCGGGATGTCTCCTGCCAGGAACCAATTTAGACCTCGCGCCCGGAAGTTAGCAGATCCACTAAGTGGGGCTCAGTAACGCTGTGGTAAAGACTCAACTGTTCACCTGACTCAGAGTGTCAACCCCATATGCTTGGCAAGGCTTTTCTTACCTACAGTGAAATCACACGCTGGGAAATCATCAAGTGTTGAAATGAGCCTCTGACTAATGAGACACTCTGGGGGAAGCACAAGGGCCCCAATCTATACAAACACCACCACACTGGGAACTCTGAGCATCTCTATGAACCATGGCCACTAAATGCACTAAAAACAGAAATGCAGTTTAAAAATTAATCTTTTTCTTCATGTATCATCACACACAAAGAACTTGAAGTGTACATGACAAATGTTCTAAGCAATCCCTGGGTAGTTAACTGGCTTTTTTCTTTTTTAAATTTTTCTAAAAGAAATACTGAAAAAAATGAATGACATAAACATTCTATCCTGGATTTAAAAAGCTGTGGCATTTTTCTACAATGGAGCACTACTCAGCCATAAAGAATGATGAATTCTTTTCATAAGTAAATGGATATACCTTGAGTACATACTCGTTAGTGAAATAAGACACATGCATAAACAATCGTATTATTTCATTAGTGTGACAAGATGAAAGAAAAACGTATGTGTATGTATATAAAATATGGTTAAGATAGTTATACCACAATTTCTCTGAATTTGTTGAAGAGAAAGATTTGTGTTAGTATTGTTTGGACAACTGAAGGTAGAGGCTGGTGTTCTGGATTTGAGGGTGACAAAGCACCATGTATGTACCATTGTTACCCCCTGACTGACATGCTTTGAAATTCTGTAACAGTTTTTCTTTTTCTTTTTTTCCTATTTATCTTTGAATAAAATGGATTTGAAACAAAAAACAAAATTCCATCCTTTGCAGGAACCATCTTGTAACCCAAAGGCCACCTCTCCTGGCACGCTGTCATCAGTGTATCTGTGTTTTCAAGACTCATCCCCCAGTCTGAACACCTAGTCCAGGTGCTTGTCACTTTCAGAAGCAGCTGGAGAGTCCTAAGTCTCCAGTTGTCCCGGTTGTACCCAAAGTCCTGAATTAACTCCAAACATCCACCTTTCTTGGTCATTCTGACTTTGGGCATGGGCCAAAAGCCAGTCCCAGACGCAGTGAGGCAGAGGAGGGTGTGCCCGCCCTGCAGATGGATGATGCCTGGCAGCAGCTTCCACTACATTTCCAGCCATACCTTGAGAGACAAAGGAGGCTTCCGGAGCTACAGAAAGCGGCAGGCTCCATGTGTTGGGCGTGTTCAAACAAAGAAGGGAGTATTTTCGTTGTGCATTTTTGTCTTTTTCGTTTTTATCGGTACCAGGGATTGAACTCACGACCGCACACTTGCAAAGCAGGCGCTTATGCCACTGAGCTAAATCCCCAGCCCCTAAAGAGGGAGTATTTTCAAAGTGGGTTAGTGGCAATGTGTCTCTTCCTACAATAAATTTTTAAGTTGACAGTTCACTTTGCTGCCTTCTATTTTCCCTCCCAACTCTTCTGATCCTGACTTTTTAAATCCAAATTTCCCATAGATGTGACTGTGACAAACTGCCTTGCTAAGGCTGTCACAAGCGTACTTCCACCAGATGAGAAGCTGCACACTTCCTGGCCTTTCCTCCACTTTAACCAGTGAATAACATGGTGGGCCATACCTGTCACCCCAGCATTCTGGGAGGCTCAGACAGGAAAGGTGACAAATTTGAGCCCAGTAGAGGCAACTTAGCAAGCCCCTGCCTCAAATTAAAAATGGGAGTGGGGGAAGCAGTGAAGATGTGGTCCAATACAAAGGCCCTGAATCCAATTCCCAGTACCAAAAGAGAAAAATAAAAGTAAAAATAAAAATGGTATGAATGCAGGGTTCTCACAGCGTGGGCCTTTCGGCGCCATCACAACCTGGAGATTTAGTGCGAAGGCAGATACGGGCTCTGCCCAGCCTACTGAGTCAGAGGCTATGGGAGCGAGACCCAGCCAAGCCAGGCGCCGATGCATGATCATGTTTACAAAGACACCAACAGTTTCATCCAAATGTGAAATGCACTTATATTGAATTAAGTTTCTTTTTCAATAACTTTTAACTGATTTCAACACAATAATTGGAGTAGAACACCTCAGCCATACAGCTGGAGCTGAATGTTAGTAGCATAAAGATAAAATTAAATTCAAAATTTAATTTTCCTCAGAGCTCTTACCCATCTTTTCTATATATGTCTTAGTTGCATTTGCAGCATGGAGAGAAAGCAAAAGAAGTTATGAAATGAGAATTGCACAGTACTCTTGGAAAAAATAAAGCAGGGACAGGGAGAAAATAATGCCTCTCTATCTTAGGGACAATGTACCATATTTCATTAACTCTCAGTTGACACCGATTTATGTACTACTGATAAACAAAAAGTCTTGATACAGTAGTAAGACACTTACAAATTACCCCAATTTCAGAATTGCTAAAAGGGGAAAAAACTGAACATTATAATTGATGAAATATGGTATATGTAGACATAGGGCAATAAGTGCAAAATCAAACAGACATGGAAAATGTCTTTCTAAATGACTGTTAGGAAAGTGAAGGGATATTCCCAAAATGTCCCTGGTGAAATTTTATTCTACAAATGACCTTATAAAGTACAGTGCCTAAAAAATTCAGTGGGCAGTAAAAAAAGGATGACTAAGGTTAACAGTCTTTTAAAGCGTTCTAACAAGTAGCAAAGCATTAACAGAAGTTATTAAATACTAACCTTTGAAATACAGTCTATCCTTGGTGACCCTTCAGGCTTTAATCCAATGATCTAAGGTTAAGAAACACTGATTAGTTCAAACACCACAAAGGTACGTGCACAACAGAACCCTGCCCTCTGTGGTTAGCGGACAGTGACAGAAGAATTGAGATCAACACTGCTCTCTATGGATTAAATCCAGTTACATCTTTTACTTTAATTTTATTCTAGGGCATGAAAGTGAGCTTTCTAATATGGTAACTTTCCAATTAGCTATTCCATCACTGTATTGAAGCAAGTGAGAAAATAACCAAAACACAGTTGCAAACTGTTTTCCTTGAAGCAACAAACAGAAAACCTTAAATCTAATTATTTTTAGGACAATTTATTGTATGTAATAAAAACTACAGAAGCAGACTATGACAAACTATTCTTTTTATTTTATTTTTTGAGACAAGTATGTAGTCCATGTTGACCTCTACACCCCAGGGTAGCCTAAAACTTGCAGTGATCCTGCCTCAGCCTCCCAAGTATTGGGATTATAGGTATGTGTTACCACACCTGGCTGACAAGGTATTCTTTAGGGTAATGTATTAGGTCACAATTTCCACCAAATATTTCCAGAAGGCTCAGAGAGAGTGTCACTATGTTTCACAGCTACCTGTCCCACAAACATACACACTCAGAATGATCATATCCTAACACTCTCATAGCACTGCTGAATTCTAAGTGGTAAGACTACTTTCATGTATGCAGTTATGACTAACAGATACAAGGGTACTTTGGTTCACAACATGATTCTCTGCATGATTCTGGTCACAAACTGCACTAGACAAGAACTAAACCAAATTTCTCCATCAGGTGAACAGTGAACCTTAGCACTGAATTATTTAGTTCTTTTTTTTTTTCTTTTTCCTTTTTATCGGTACCGGGGATCGAACTCACGACTGCCTGCTTCCAAGGCAGGCGCTTATGCCGCTGAGCTAAACCTCCAGCCCCTTTGATTTAGTTCTTATCCAACTCAGTTTGTGACCAGAATTATAGAAAGAATCAAGTTTGTGAACTGAGGTGTATTCACCCATTTATTTTGTGAGAAGGTTTTTTTTGGCATTCTAAATTTATTATATCCAGCTTATTTGTGAAAGAGAAACTTTTTTTTTTTTTTTTGTCTTTTTCTTTTTTATCAGTACCAGGGATCGAACTCACGACTGCCTGCTTCCAAGGCAGGCGCTTATGCCGCTGAGCTAAATCCCAGCCCCTGAGAAACTTATTTTTTAGCAATGCCAACTCCAGCAGACTCATGTTTTCCTTTTACAAGGGATGAGGGTGATTTGCTGGTCAGTGATAATGTCAAGGATATATGAATTCGACCTCGAGAGGTCTATACCTATTTAAGAAACTTTCCTAAGTCAATAATCTGGAATGGCTTCAATTAAGGGAGGCTTTAAACAGCCTTGAAAACATGACCTGTAACAGCACACTGCCTTGCAGCTCAACCTGGAAGGAGCAGCAGGCATGAAGCGGAGCGATCCCATCATCCCTAGGCAGCCTCTCCTCGGCCGAGTGGCTTGCGTGCACTGGAACCGTCCCGGAGAGAAAACAGCGGCTTCTCCATATCTCAGATACTACTCTATCAATGGTAAAATGGCACCCTGGCTACAACTGCAACTCCCCATGAGCTCACTGCAGTGTGACCTGCCACAATTTAATACACTTGTAAGTAGGTGATCCCCCCATGAGATAACATTTCATAAGGAAATCATTTACTCAACCCAAATGATCTAAAATAATTATCAATTTTTTTGCAGAGGATAACATTAGAAAAAAAGCAGCAGCAGAAGCATAATCTACACATACTCTATTCATTTTCACAAGAACACAAGGTTGTCCTTGGGAATAGCCAAAGTCAGGATCGTCTGTACCACTGCACGCTTCAAGTAAGGAGTCAGGAAACTGACATGCAGCATACACTGGACCCGTCTGTTCAAAAAGCACTCCATCAGTACACTTGTTGAGATTCTTCTGCTCGTCTAAAGAATATGCTAGAAAGGAAACATCAGTGTGATTACGACATATGGTTAATATTTACCGCCACCAAGCTCTTTTCAAAACTCAGCTCCAAACACACAAGCCCCACTGTTCTTGTCTCTTTTGGCAACAGTTTTTGAGTGTTCCTAGTTGTAATGTCGTGGCTTCCTCTGCGTCATGAACGCATTCAAACTATTTGGGAAAGAGCCAAAAGCTGCATGACGCCAACCCTGTGAATAAAGTGGGTAAGGACACAACTGAAACATGCTTACCTGACAGAGATTGCTGCACACATCTGATCAATGAGGGATGATCAAACACACAGTGAATATTAAACAGAATTATTAGAGTGAAAGACTCACTGTTACTAACATGTTTACACTGGGGCCACAATTTGTACATTTTGCTGCTGGACGATTCTGAACAGGCGTGGAAATGTGCTAATCCCCTCAAAATGCGCTCACTTACCTCATTGCTCTTGGTAAATTTTTTTTTTAACTAACAAGTTCAAAAACAACATTGTAGTTTTTAAATTTTTATTCATGTATTTTGAGACAGGGTCTTGCTACATAGTTTAGGCTGGTCTTGAACTCAGTATGAAACCCAGGATGGCCTCAAACTCACAGCAATCCTCCTGTCTCAGCCTCTCGAATGCTGGGAGTACAGGGGTGTGCAACAAAATTTCTAACGTTCACCATATTTTAAATTCACCCCTTACATATACACATGCTAGATGTTACAGTTTGTGTCTGGATGTCCCTCCAAAGCCTCATGCAGTCACGAGGGTGGGATTCTGGAGTTTGTGATTGATTCATGATCCAATGCTGGGATTATGGATGTGAGTGTTACACCTGTCCTGGGGTGGGCAGCCTGTATACAATATACGGGAGGAAGAAGCTTGTTCCCCTGTTTCCCCTTTTTTGCCTTTCTTGCTCTTGTTGCTTTTGCTATTTTCCACTGCAATGAACTGTTGCCCTCTGCCATGAACCAACCTGCCTTGGAGCCACATCTCATTATGGACTGAAACCTTCAAACTGTGAGCTAAATAAATCTTTTCTCCCTTAACTTGTGGGTGTTGGGTATTTTGTCTCAACAACAAGACAGAAAAGTAACTAAGACAGTGGATCAACCAGAAAAAGGTATTAAGCACAATCATGAATATATCATCCTTAGATAACGTGATTCAAAGACAAAACTAGCAATGCTATCTACTAGATAATATTAAGGAAAGAATCTTAGGTTTGCTCCTTTAACTTTTAAGATCCATCTACTGCTTAAAAGTTTACTCCATCCCAGCAGTCACACAAACTGGATTACACATCAATCTCGTCATTATTAGGCAGGTCCTGCTTTGTTCTATGTGCTTGGGCCAAAAAGATAAAAAGGTGAGGGCATAAAAAGACAATTCTATTGGACTTTTACAGTCTTAGAGGGAACACAGATATTTAAGTATAAAATCATAACTGCAGGGGTAGGAAGACAGACAGTAAGAGACTTCCAAGTTCAAGCCCAGTGACTTAACGAGACCCTGTCTCAAAAATAAAAAATGACTGAGATGTAGCTCAGTGGGAAGGACACGTAACACCAAAAGAAAAAAACACAGGGTGGTAATGGTAGAAGGGCCTACAGAGATTATATTAAGTAAAAAGAAAAAGAAGAAATTCAGAACAGTCTAGTGAAAAACAGAAAACAGAGAATTATTGAAGTTCTAATAGAAGATAATTATTTTAAACTAAACAATCCAAGTCTGAAATGTTCCCAATCAAGGCCCAGCAAAATATTTTAGAATAAAATACACAAAATTTTAGAACCCTAGAGACAAACTGAAAAACAAAAAATCTTTACAGAAAAAAGACAAATTTCAAATAATTAGAGTTTTATATATAGCTAGCCGTAACTACAAAGGGAGAAATGGGTGCTTTTCAGAAATATAGGGCTCAGAATTTACATTCCACACATCTGTTCTGATAAAGTTGAGAATGTACTCCTATTAAATGGGGCAGAGGCTGGGGGTGTAGCTCAATGGTAGAATACTTACCTACCACGTCAGGGGTCTGGAGTTTGAAACCCAGCAATGCAAGAAACCAACCAACCAACCAAAATCAAACACAAACAAAACTTGTATAGGGCCAGGGGTGTGCGTCAGTGACAGAGCAGCTGTTCAGTGTGCAAGGCCCTAACATTCAATCCTGAGCACCAAAAATACAATACAACAAAACAAACTCCCAAAAGAACACAATACTACCACCAAAAACAAAACTGGGGAGTAAATTAAAGATAGCACAGGCTGGGTGTTCTGGCACACACCTGTAATCCCAACACTCTGGGGGGCTGAGGGAGGAGGATCTCCAAGTCCAGCTCAGCCTGGCCAATTTACTGAGATGTTTCAAAATGAAAAATGAGATGTAGCTCTGTGCCCTGTGCTTGATCCCTAGCAACACATGCAAGTATGAGAAACCAGTAGAGGGGAAGGGCTCTAAGACAGATTTGAAGAAAGGAGAGACTTAAGAGGCTTCAAATGACAGTAAACAAATTTGGGAATCAGAAAAGAATGCCTACAGGTGGCACAACAGTACCTAAATATAAAGAAGCAGCCAAAGAAGATACTAAAAATAAATAAGAAGGGAGAAGAGGGGCAGGGTAGCTCAGTGGTATAAGTGCTTGCCTGGTAAGTACAAGGTTGCAAGTTCAATCCCTGGTACCAAAAAACAAACAAACAAACAAAAACCTCCACACAAAACAAGAAAGGAGAAGGCCAAGGCTGTGCTAAGTGAAAACAAATGTATGAAAGTGGTAAGTCAATAATTAAGTGACAAATGACACCAATTTTAAAAATGGTAATAACCAGCAGGAAAAGTACAGTATTTACAGAAAGAAAAGTATCAAAATAGGCATATGGTTATTTCCTAATTAAAATGTATCCATGACTAGATTTTCACAGCCTCAATGGCTCCCTTACCAAAGCTACTATTCTGCTTTACCTGAGTTACCATAACGTCTGAACTAGTTTCCCTGTCCCTACCATACAGTCTCATTTCAAAAAATAAGCTAAATGCCCTTTTGAAACATGACTTCTATCATGTTATTCTCTGCTTAAAACTCTTGATCCTGAGTCAGGCATGGTCAGCACTTGGGAGGCTGAGACAGGATTGCTGTGAGTTGATGGCCAGTCTGTGCTATGTATCTAAATTGTCTCAAGAAACCAAAACCAAAACCACCCCAGTAAACCACACCCTCATACTTTAGCCAGGGGTAGTGGTCACATGCATAATCATAGCTATTCAGGAGGCTAAGGGAAGAAGATAGCAAGTTCAAGCCCAGACTAGGCAACTTAATGAGACTTTGTCTCTAAATAAAAAACTAAAAGGGCTGGGGCTGTCGCTCAGAGTGCCCTGTGTTCAGTCCCCAGTACTGAAAACAGGCATCTCCCACCTTGGTCAGTATGAACTGAAGACTGTAACTGTCATCTAAGGACCCATGCAACCTGATCTTTTATTAACTGTTATTTGGTACAGCAGATTGAATCCAGAGCCTTTGCACTGAGCTACATCCCTAACACGATTAGTTTTTGAGGCAAGGTCTTGCTAACCTTGCCATCTTCTGCCTCAGCCTCCCAGAGGGCTAGTAACCTGGTCCTTCTTCAGCTCCCTGACCTCAAGTCTTCTGCTCTTCTTGCTGGGCTTCACTGTATCTGATCTCTCTTGCTTCCTTAATGAACCTTTAACCCATCAGGCACAAAAATCCTCAAGGCCCTTGCACTCACCACTGTCTTTCTGGAGAGTTCTACGGCTAGTTTGCTTCAGTTTTCTGAGACATGGAAGCCTTCCAGTCCACCCTGTTAAGCCTGCAACCTTTCCCACCTCTCCCTATTACCTTTCTGTTTTATTTTCTTCCTCAGTACATACTACCAACTAATACAGTAATAAAGAATTGTCTTTTGTTCATGTACTTAATTGTCAAGGCACAGATTTCTGATGATAGCTAGAAGCCAATGTGGAATCACTAGAGATTTAGGCTTTAAGATAGGAAGGAGGTGAAGATTTCTGCAAGCTGACGAGAAGAATCCAGTGAAGACAGAGAGGCTATATTTTCATGAGAAAGCACAGTCAATACCATGTTTCAGAGATAGCGAGAAGGACAAGAGCCAAGGCAGCTACAGTTAGGGAGCCTCAGATGAGAGGAAGGGCAGCTCCCCACAGAGAGGAAAGGGTCATTGATAACACAACTTCAATCATACATCTATATTACTGGTAATGGGAAACTGAGTTCCCACCTGAAGCCTTCTCTTATCTCTTGCAGCAAGCAAGAAACTATGCTGTATAAAGAAAATGAGACAGCCTGAGAGGCTTAAGGAGACAAACAAAAAGCATCCCTTCAAACATCACTAGAAAAGCTGGGTGTGATGGTATAATTGCAGCACTTGAGAAACTGAGACAGGAGGATGAGGATTGCTGTGAATTTCTGAGCTACAAAATGAGTTCCAGGCTGGCCCAAACTGCACAATGAAACCCTGTCTCAAAACAAACAAACAAACAAACAAACAAAGTCAACAAAAAGCCAGCGTGCCTGCTGGCAGGCACGGCCACCTGAGAGAAACAAGCAGGTAGCCGAGGTGCTGACAGTGGTGTTTTCTGCAACACCGCTGCTGGGTATTGGCTCAGGCGGTGAGAAACTCCATCCAGAAATCTGTGATTTTTATCCAAGAAGAGAGTTCTGCCACAAATGATCAATAGAGAGGCAGGGATTTTAGAGTACCAGCGAGAGTGAAAATTAGGTAAAAACTCAGGATTAATAAACTAGAGAAAAAAGAACTTTGGGATGGGAGCTGGATAAATTAAAAAATTCAGCAATTAGAAGTTCTGAGGCAGAATAATCCTGGAAAAAGTTCAACAGGCAAGCGAGAGGAGCAGAAGGTGATGTTAGGAAGGCTTGCTTGATCAGTAATCCTGATAAAGGAGTCCTCTCTGTTCTAGGGAGCAACTAATTGTAGATGTGTGTGGCTGAGAAGATAATTAAGAACAGGTCAGGTTGATGATTATTAGTATCATTCACATATAGCTAGACTAGGTCAAAAAAGAAGAAAAATTTGGGCAAGGAGGGCACTAAAGAGCATTATATGGCACATTAAAAATCTGATTGTTTTAAAGTGATAAATGTCCCCCACCCGAATATTACAAGCAATGTAAAAGATCCAAATTCTGTCTGACCAAGTACCTTAGTATCCATTTCCACCACTGAAAAAAAATCAGAAACAAAAGCACCAACGTATCATCTTCTATAATACAAATGTGTTCTATAGCCAAACACTTTCAGGTATTTTATTTTGCTCTGTATGAGATAAGACAGTCTAGGCTGGCTTTTAACTCACTAGCCCAGGATGGTCTCCAGTTCAAGCGCCTCCTGTCTTAGCCTCTCTAAGGCTGAGATCCCAACGGTTTGCCACCAGACCCAGCCACTTTCCATTTTAGTGGGGATATAAATGTTGTATCTCAGCAAACATAGTATATACTTAAAGCATAGATTTAAAAAAATATATTGACTTTTCACTTGTTTTAGGCTCCATATGCCTTTTCATAAATTAGAATATTCTTACAACTAATCATAACTTGGTGCTAGTTTCCAGAATTAAGATTTTTATCTTATTTTAAGGAAACATACTTACACTTTAGAAACTTCTTAAGGTCTTTTATGTACCCTTCATAGGAACTTGGATCAGACACACTAAATGTATATTCCAATGCAGTCACTGGTTTTGGGAAAACCATGAGTCCTAAAAACAGATAAAAGAAAAGGGAAAATTAACTACATCTAATTCCCCCTCACCATCTCCTTACTCTTATCCCTAAAGTGTAGGTCTCAGTAACATTGAAAACTGTACTCACAGGCATGCTAAAATTATCAACAACTTCCTACTTCTATCCAAGTATGAAAGTAAAGACACTTAAAAATCAATTCAAATCTTCAAAACCACCTCTGACAATACCAATTAGAAATTGTTATAGCTTATATCAAGAGTTCCCCTAAGCCTCACGCAGTCATAGGCAGTACCTCTGGCAGGTGCCTGGACCAGGGGGCATTACAGCCATCTCGCTATCGGGAGGGGGACCCAGCTGCAAGAGGTAGGTCGCTGGTGTATGACCCAGAAGGCAGTATCTTCCTCTCCAGCTCAGGTCCTCTCTCGACCCTGTTTCCTGTCTGCCATGAGGGAAGCAGCTCTTCCTGTCATGCTGTTCTCCTTGGAGCCAGCCAGCCATGGACTGAAACAGGGCCCAAAATAAACCTCTCCTTCTTTAAGCTTTGGATATCAAGTATTTTGTCCTGGTAAAGAGAAAAGTGGCTAAGACAAAGAATGTCCCCTAAATTTGATTATTTTAGTTACCTATAATTATTATTCCTTATTTTAAAATAGGCAATTTACTTTGCATTTTCTATACTCATTTTCAACTGAGTAATATCTTTAGGTCTTGTCGATTTTTTTTTAAAGACAGGGTCTCTCTATGCGGTGCAGACTAGTCTTGAACTTACTTACGTAGCCCACTCACAGTGATCCTCCTGACCACTCACAGTGATTCTCCTGACTCAGTCTCCCGGAGTGCTGGGATTACAGATGTATGCCACCAAACCCAGTTAATTTTGCCAATTTGAGGTACGGTACAGAGAAAAATTTTAGCTAATCAGTCTAACCACTTCTGTCATTCAAATTACAATTATAGGTAAATATTTATAAGACAGCCTGCCCTTTTCAATTAAAACTCATAGTACACTTTCTTTTAAGTGTTGTTCTATCAATAAAACGTGCTTTTCACATACTGCATTTGGAGTAGAGCCATTAGTAATTTCTTATCACTAGCTATCACTTTTGTATACAAAAAGGAAATGCAAACATTTATTTGTAAGAAATCAAGTTTCTGACTTCAGTATTACAAATACTCTTCATGTCTAAAACTGTATTATATATGCGGTGTACACTTATTTACACTGTAAGTAGAATGTGCTTGATAAATCATTTTTAAAAAAAATTTTTTTTGGTCTTTTTTGTTTTTATCGGTACCAGGGATCGAACTCACGACCGCACACTTCAAGGCAGGCACTTATGCCACTGAGCTAAATCCCCAGCCCCGATAAATCATTTTAAGAAAGTGAGTTTAATGTTGTGCTTCAAAACAGTGAACAAATGCCTATCAGCTGAGGAATGGATAAAGAAAATGTGATTCTTTTATACAATGGAATACTTACTCTACCTAAAGAAGGTTAAGCATGAGACATTCCTAGGTAAATGGATGCACTTTGAGTCCATACTCTTAAGTGAAATAAATCAAACATGGATGTATAAATACTGTATTGTTTCTCTAGTGTGAGAAACTGAAAGTATAAATAAAGAACAATATTAGGTATGGTGAAACAGGAAGAAAATGTTCAAATAGGGAGGGGAAAAAGGAGGGGGAAGGGGAAAGGAAAGGAGAAGTAAAAAGAAAAAGCGAGAAAAGAAGGAAAAAGTGGAAACGAAGATTTTGTAAATAGGGAAAGAAGGCACTGAAGAGCAGGGTAGGGGAATATGAGAAAAAAAGAATCAATTTATATCATGTACAGTACAAATTCTCTATGATGACTTTGATCATTATGTATACTTGAAATATACCAATAAAATCTGAAAAAAAAAGGAAAAATAGGGAATACATTTTACTATACATATAATTCATGGACTTAATAAAGAGTTTAGCATTTCTGAAATAAATCACATTATGTTCAAAGATAATAACTGCAAGACTTAACAATAATTACCTTTGATGTCTAGATAGACAAAAAAAAAAACCCAAAATACCACCAACAGAAAAAACCCCAGGGTCACAGTGAGATATGAGGGGAAAATTAACATGGAGTTAGTCTCTGATACTGTACTTGGTCAAATACACTAGACAAAAGACTTACTCAGGATGCTCAGACAAACAGTAGCTGTAAATAAAGGTTATCACTTGAATTGTTGTGAGAAGTAACAGCTGGAGTTCACCCTGCGGCTAATACGGCTCAAAAGTCTATCAGTGAGTGAGGCACTAAGACAGCCGGGCTGGGTAATTCTTTGTTATGAGGGGCTGTGCTGTGCACTGAGCGATGCTGAGCGGCACCCCTGACTCCCTGCACCAGTCCCTGCCTAGTTCTAACAACCTAAAACATCTTTAGACATTGCTGAATGCCCTCTGGAGGACAAATGATTTCAGTGGCTGAAAACCAATGCACTAGAGAGAAACTCCACTTCTTCCTAGCCTACTGGTGTGCTCTCCTTGCAGCACAAATCCCACTCCTCCAGGTAGAAACATCCCTTCTCTACCATCAGCATCTCTCCTCCTTCTTCCACTCCCCTGCCTCCCCTTTCCTTCCTCTCCCCACCTCCCATCTCTTTTTCAAGGCTAGTGATCAAACCCAGGCCTCTCTCTTGCTTGCTAGGTAAGTGTTCTATCATTCTCTCTCTCTCTCTTTTTTGTCTTCTTCATTTTTATCGGTACCCGGGATTGAACTCATGACTGCCTGCTTGCAAGGCAGGTGCTTATGCCGCTGAGCTAAATCCCCAGCCCCTCATTGTTTTTTTTTAAAAAAAAATTATCTCACTGTTATGGAAACCAGACACAGGAAGAAATGGCACTGAGGGGGTTTAGGCCGCAGTTTATTTACAAGTGGACTTGACTAGAATTTCTCCTCAAACAGCCCTGCCCGAAGGAGTTTCAGTGTTTTTGTGGGGAAGGCAAGCAGGGTGGTTCAAAGTAGATTTGTCATACTATGACTGAAAGGTCAGGTGACATTTCTGGGTTGCTAAGGGAGTTTATATCATAAGACCATCAGTTATAGCAGGGTGTGGTGGCTCATGCCTGTAATCCCAGCACTTGGGAGGCTGAGGCAGGAGGATTGTTGTGAGTTCAAGACCAGTCTGGGCTACAACGTGAGCTCAACACCAGTCTGAACTGCATAGTGAGACCCCGTCTCAAAAAGACCAAAAAAAAAAAAAAGACCATCTGTCATACAAAGCATGGATTATACAAAGGAAGAAATGTCCTGTTACATTTTAATTTGTACTGCAGGGTCATCAGTTCGACAAGCTTTTTGTTTTTCCCTTTTATTAGTACAGGGAATCGAACTCATGACTGCCTGCTTGCAAGGCAGGCGCTTATGCTGCTGAGCTAAATCCCAGCCCTCAGTTAGACAAGCTTACACAAAGGAAGGAATGTTGTGTTAATCAAGCTTGTCTGGACATGGACATATCTACCTGGTCGCGGCGGGCATCCTTGGTAGGCTTCATTTAAAGTTCTTTTTTTTAAAAATCGGTACTGGGTATCAAACTCACGACTACGTGCTTGCAAGGCAGGCACTTATGCCACTGAGCTAAATCCCCAGCCCATTATTTAAAATTCTTAATTCCCTTCATTATCAGTTGTAATTCTGGGGAATGATATGCTGAAATTCTACACATTATTGTTTTCTAAAAATTGCCCACATGGGATCAGGGATTTAGTTCAGTGGCACAGTGCCAGCCTGGCAGCCACAAGGTCCTGAGTTCGATGCTTGGTATACCCCACCAAATGCCCATGTGGACCTATTGGTACAGCATAATAGCAGACATTTGCATATCATGTAAAATATGCTGGGCTGTTTCCAGCACAGCAAAGTAAAATCTGTCAGGACTTTCAAAATAAAGGCTATGTTCAACAATCAAGTTAGAGCTAGTATTCAAAAACTGCCTCAAAAGAATAAAATTAGAGGGCCGGGGGTTTAGCTTGTAGCTCAAGCGCTTACATAAAGTTGTGAGTTTAAAAAAAAAAAAAAAAAGAATAAAATCAGGAGGGTAAAATATAACTTAAATAAATTCTCAATATTCATTTTTGCTTATTCCTAATAAAAGACTCAAAATTTATGAGTAAATGATTGTGAAGGTCCCCAAATCAGTATGTAAATATTAAACAGCAAAAATCAAATTGCTCAGACTACCCAACCCTACGGTTTAGCACTTTTCTGGTAGAATAGAAAGGCATTATGAAGATAAACTAACCCTGTTTTGTTAAATGTTATGATAACTGCAATGTAATTAATTACCTGGACTAGGAATCTGGTCACGGTATTTTGGAATCTCATCATTCAGAGTCTGAAGCATAGCCCACATTGTGAATGTGAAGAGTGCAGCCAGGAACCCATAAAACACTAGGTAGAAGAGCAAGATCAAACCTGTGAAAGAAATTAAAACCCATCAAATATGGAAACACATACACATACACATGCTTGGCCTGGTTAAAAACAAGCTCAAGCTCTGCCATGCATACAGCCAAGTATCCTCATATTCAGGACAAAAGAATCTGTCCAAGCCAGGGGTATTTCAGCTGGCAGCACCCACTCATTCCATGAGCCCACCTTTTTTCCTGGTACTTCCAAGTTAAAGTAGCTTCTGTCATCCCCACTATGGTTCAAAGTCAAAGCTTTAAAATTCCACCATATAGTGGAGTATTTCCCAAAATGATGCCCTCAAAAGAGAAAAAATGATTTTTAAGTGGGACAACATCCCCCAACATATAAGCTGCATGTTTAAGTGACAAATGGAAAAGATTTAATATTCAAATGTACATTAAATCCATTATTTCACATGGCAATTATTTGTATAAATTCAAATTTTAAGTGAGTTGATTTAAAGAATAACCACCAGGAAATGTGCAAAGAAGGCAAAAATCATAAAGATGACACTTAATGAATAAAGTTTAGGAGATAATAGTCTAGTAGAAGGGCTCATGCAGAAGTGAGAAGTCAGTCAAATGCTCTCCAGCTAGGCAAAAGCAAGATTTGGCAGATACATTTCAACATCAAGGGCTTATTTTTTCCTTTATCACAGGAAATGCTTAGATCTATTCCAAACCATTGATTCATTTTTGGAATACCTACCACCAATTTTTCTCACCTACATTCAAAAATAACACCAGAAATATCATCATAATCAAGATTAAATTTCAGAATATTTTGTTACAGCCATTCACTTACATTGAAATGCTTAAAAACTGATCAAAGATATTAAACTCCAAGGCACAGCAAAACTGAGGAATATTCAATACCATAATTGCAATCATATCAGCTTTATTTCCCAGTCTTTTTAACCTTTTCATTTGCCTGCAAGGTTCTAAGTGACCCTAATACCAGTCTTCAGGGAGTGCTTCAGAGGGCTCTTAGGATTTCTATTACAATATTTTCTTGAACTTACTCATTTTTCTACATGGTGAATGACTACACAACCATCTTTTGATTTTCAACAACTCCATGATCTCAAAACAGATTATACCAAAAGTTAGATAACTTTTACTTCAACTACAGACCAGGAAACCATTCCTCACTCCTTTTCAAGAAGGGGAAATAAAGCGGTTTCATTTTAATTTAAATAGATCATAACCCTCCCCCAATTACCAGGAAGCCAACATAGGGAGCAAGAAGACAGAAGAAAGACAGCAGGACAGGACGTCACTTTCAGACAGCATCACTTCCCTACCACATACTGCAATCCTGTTGCAGAAAAAGAAAAGGAAGACCAATCTCAGAGGAATGATTCATTTGCTACAGAGGGAAATGAAATAACACAGCCTAAAATACCATCTTAGTGAAAAACAGGAGGGAAAAAGATAAATCTTTCAGATATAGATGAGTACAGAAAATATGGATAAAAATTCTCTACACAGAAGACCAGGATAGACAAACACAGTGGTACTTTGGTTTATGAACTTAACCTGTCCCATCATTTTGGAAAAGATGGGCACATTTGTACTTGCATGGAAAAATGGCTACAGTTGTGTTCATCACCCAGTGCAGTTTGCAAACAAAACAAAATTCTGCCAAAAAGCTTGTTTGCAAACCACACTGTTCATAAAAGTGTCCTTGAACTGATGTGCCACTGTCTATAAACTAACTAGCGTGGCTGCATGATATAAAACTTCATTTACACTGATACTGTAATAGTTTATCAATTCATGCACCACATATTAAAATATTCTTTTCATATAATTTTCAGTTTTGATTTTAAATTTCTAAGAAAAATAATATATGGGATATTTGTAAGTTATAAATCCAGTATGATAGCAGGCATGAGTAATCCCAGCTACCCAGGAGGCTGAGGCAGGAAAGCATAAATTCCAGGTCACTTAATTATCTTGGCAAGACCCGGTCTCAAAATAAAATTAAAAAGGGCTGGGAATCTATCCTAGTGATAGAATACTTGCCTTGCTTATGTGAGGTCCTGAGTTCAACCCCTTAGTGATGCAAACAAACAAATCAATAGCCATTTCCTAATCCATTGCTGCATATTAGCAGTCACTAGTTATAAGTAAACAAATTATTTTCAACTTTGAAGGGAGTTCCCTACTTGAAAAACTTTGCCAAGATCCAAACCTAATACTTAAAAATTAAAATTAAGCTGGGTGTGGTGGTGGCACATGGCTGTAATCCTAGCACTGGGAGGCTGAGGCCAGCTGCACTACATAGCAGTTCAAGGCTGGCCTGGAGTACACTGGAGCTCCTGCCTCAAAAACAAAACAAAAAATCCATAAGAACAAAAGAAATAGTAAAATAAAACATCAAATGAAAGACCATTCAAAAGGGTAGTGATACTTTATCAGTTTAATAATGCCTCTTCCCTATAAAGAGAAAAAAACCCAAACCAAACCAACCAACCACCCACCCAAACAAACAAACAAACAAACAAAAAAAAAACCCAGAAAATAAAAAGTTGTAAACTGTTGCTCTTGCCTTAAGTTACACTTGCAGTCAAGTCAGTGACTTAAATGCAGTCTGGTGATTGGCTTAGGGAACTCTTATCTAGGTACATGCTGGGTTAATCACAGGTAATCTATATATAGCACCTGTTCTCTGTGCCAGGTCTGCTTCAGAGCTACTTGATGTAAGTAGGAAACAATAAATAGTACCATATTTATTGTTATTAATGTCTCCTACTTTAAAATTGTAAAAAACTTCCATAAGTCATTACCCAACTAAATAAACTAATTTAAGATGGGTATGGTCTTACAACCTATTATCCTAGCACTTTAGAAGGCTGAAGTAGGTGGATTCCAAGTCTGTCACTTAGTGAGAGACTATCTCAAAAATAATTCTGTTTTGTAGTCCTGTCCATGTAGAGGGACATGTAGTCCATGTTGACCTCAAAATCAAAGCAATCCTCCTGACTTGGCCTCCTGAGTGCCATAATTACAGGTGTGCACCGTTATGCCCACTGTTGAAAACAACACTGTTAGAAGGGCTGGAGTGGCAGCTCAGCACAAAAGCTCTGGATTCGATCCCTAGCACTCAAACTGAAAACATTAGTATTTTAGAGTTTGAGGTCAAAAGAATCATTGGTTATTCAAACACCATACAGTTTAATGCTACAATCTGCATTTTTCTACTGTCACATTGTTACTCTCACCATACAGGAACATGACAAATGTTACTTCTTTGTTTTCACTCTTGAGATCTAATGACACACAAGAGTTGTCATGCCTGTAATCCCAACAACTTGAGGGCCTAAGGCTGGAAGATTTCAAGATCAAGACTAGAGTAGACAATTTATCCAGACCCTGTATTGAATTTTTTAAAAAAATTTTAAGGATAGGAGAGTATGGCTCAGTGGGCAGTCTTGGGTTCAATCTCTTATAGTGGTGGGAAAAGAAAGGAATAAAGGAGGAAGGAAGGAAGAAGAGTAAGACAAGGAGGAAGAAGGAAGAAACAAGGGAGAAAGAGGAAGAGGAAAAGGAAAAGAAGGAGTTATCAAATGACTTAAAATTGTGGCCCCTCTACATTGGCACTGATCCTCTTCCCTCTCTTTATAGCTGATCTTGAAAAGCACCAATATTCAAATCCTTTCCCCTCTTATTTCTGATGAAAGACCGTGATTAGGAAATCCAGTGGGTGGATGGCAGTATACAGCAGGCTGTTTATAAATAAGCATGCCAGAATCAGGTATGGCTTAAATTCTGGCTGGCTACCTTCTGGCTATGTAGCCTTGGACAAATATCCTAGTCTCCATTCCTGTATGAAAAAAGAAATAACTGTAGTTACTAGCTAATTAAGTCATATTGTAGAAAGGATAATTAAAATCAAGAGATGTGACAGTATTAAAAACAAAACTCCTCAGGAAGGTCCAGTGTATGGTTTCTAATTCCTTTTACCTCATTATTCTCTGGACTTGTCCTGACTCTGACTTGGACAAAGGCCTAACATCAAGAAAATATTAAGAACTGAAAAAAACCAGGCCCTCAAATTTAAAGACCCAATCCAAAAATGGACATCTGAGATGAATAAACACTTTCTTTTTTTTTTTTTTGAATAAACACTTTCTTAGAAGCAGTAGTACAAATGGCAAATATATGAGAAACATGTTCAACATCATTGATCATTGGAGAGATGCAAATTAAAACACTTCACCCCAAAAACAATGGCTATTATCAAGAAATCAACCAGTAACAAAAACTGGAGGGAGCTATAGGGAAGAAGGAACCCTTCTCCACTACTGGAGTGTAGACTGTTGCAACCAATGTGGAAATCAATGTGGATTCCTCAAAAAACTAGGATTAGAAGTCTCATTTGACCCACCTAAATCCCCTTCTGGTATCTTCCCAAAAGAATTAAAAATACTGTTATCACAGCAATATATGCATACCCATATTTACAGCAACAGTCTGTAACAATTAAATCTTAGAAACAACCCAAATGTCTATCAATTGAAGAATGAGTTTAAAAAGATGAGGTTTTTTTTGTTTTTCTTTTTTTTTAAACAGAATACATAAAGAACAAATGAGGGGTTTCTAGGAAATGGATGCACCTTGAGACCATACTCTTAAGTGAAATAAATCAGACACACTTGTGTAAACAATATATTGTTTCTCTAGTGTGAGAAACCTGAAGTATAAACAAGGACCAAAGTGTATAATAGGTATTGTGAAATAGGCAGAAACTGTTAAAAAAAAATAAGAACTAGGGAGAAGGGAGAGTAAAAAGGAAAAGGGGAGGGGGATAAAATGCAAACAAAGCAAAAAAAAAAAAAAGAAACAAAGCTTAGTAAGAAAGGGAAGAGGGATTAATGGGAGGGGAGGAACTGGGGGAAAAAGAATATATATATATATATATATATGTACAACTCCCTATAATAAATATGATCTTTATGCATATTCAAAGTATACCAACCATCTTTTACTTAACCATTA